TGGATATGTATCCAATTTTTATTGGTCCCAAATGAAACCATGAGTGGGGTGTAAGGTTAGGAACTTGATTGCATCAAGATGTGACTTAAACACTACATCTTCAAGACCGCACGGAGGTATTGTAGATAATGCTTTGTCAAAATTCTTCCTATTGACCACATTCACATTAATAATAAAATAATTATGGTCTGCCTCAATGTTCTCCACAATCCCATCTTGAAGCCATATGAATAAGCGTTGATGCAGAGTTGATGGTACTGCCCCAATTCCATGTATCCACTCGCATCCTAGCAACAAATTATAGTTTGCTTTGGACGCAATCACCGTAAACAATGTTGGGTTTGAAGTTGAGCCAACTGACAAATTCACTTGAATCACACCCAGTATGTGCCTTGTTTTTCCTTCATAGTTCGACAAAACCATATTATGTGGTTTAAGGTCAGTGTCGAACTTGCCAATCCCTTTCATCCATGATTGTGGCATCAAGTTCACAACGGTACCACCATCAACAAACACTTTGTTCATAGGGAAACCATTAACTTTAGCCCTTATAAACAAAGGCTTGAGATGGTACATTATATCAGATGTAGGCTTCTCAAATATTTCATGTTTTTCTTCCACCACCCCATTATTCATGACATGGTAACATAGAGGTTTTTGGCCCATTGATTCTTTACACATGGCTTCTTTTCGTCCCCAGATGCTTCTGACGAGAAACCATACTCATTAGGCAGAACCGACACAATACTATAGTGACAATCAACCCATCTTCTGAGCTACCTTCAAAGTCATCATATAGTTCATCGTCCATGTTGTCATTAGGATCTTCAACTTTTGGTGGCGACACAGTCACAACTGACATCAATAACCTCTCTATTGTTGGTTGACAATGCATTTCCTTCTGAACGCTCTCACCTTTTGATGGAGCAACTTTTGATGGCGCTTCTCTTGCATCTTTTTTGTTTCTTTGAAACCTTCTCCACTAAGTCTTCGTCATAGGATTTTTCCCTTTGTATGTGGGAGGAACATGATACTTCTTTGATGTGATTCTAGCTTCAACAAATTAGGAAGAATTTGATCCCCTCTCCATCATTTCCCACTTATGACTCAAGCCTGAACCTTTCTTCACTATCTTCCAATTTTGGCTTGCCCCCATGGATAGAAAGGACAAACCCAGTAATTGTTAGGAGCATAAGTTGATGCACAAAGGTCCTTTGATACGGAAACCTAGGTTTTTCTTGAGGCTCTTGGACTTTGTATGGCCTCTTCGCATAGTCGAACACCACCTTTGGATTTTTAACTTGAGTGCGCTTCATCTTCAACGCCTCAATTTTTTTTGCAGAATTTTCATCATATACCCTGTTACAATTTAGGCATAACATAGACTTAGAATTACTCAACTTGCATCTATTCAGAAAATCCACTAATTCCTCTTCAGGTTGGGAAACACAACCTTCATCAATTCAGCAACTGTTTCTTCAGACAATTCCTCATTCTTGGTTTCACAATCCACTTTTTCCTTTTCGCTTTGATTACCCCCAGGCTCTTTAGCAATATAACCTACCATCACTTCCCGTGGCTTAGACAAATTGCCATTTCCACTTTTGAGACCTTAAGTAGTCTCAACTGCTGCGGCTACCATTTGATCAACGATCATATCTTGTTCGTTCTTAAAACCATCATTAGTCTTGATTGTCAATGCTGCCAGTGAGTCGATAATATTGGCCTGTTTACCTTTGAGACCATCAGTAGCCTCAATCATCAACACTTCCAATGGCTCGACAAAGTGTGCATCAACAACATGTAAAGGATCTGAGTCGACCTTCATGGAGCTTTTTGGTTTTTCACCAAATTTTAATCAACCATCTTTCAGAGCCTTCTGAATCAAATCCCTGAAAAGAAAACATTGATAAGTATTATGACCAAAAAAATTATGATACTTGTAGAAACCCCTTTTTTTGTTTCTGCTCTAATGGTGGATTTTTACTGCCTGGAGCCACTATAATCCGACCATATGAAACTAAAACATCAAATATTTCATCATATTTTGACACATAAAAAATATATGTTTAAGTATTAGATTTATCATTTTTTGGTTCTTCAACCGTTTATCCTTTTGACGGTCTTATAGGTTTACATGCATATGGAGGTCCGACTTTTAATTCAGCCACGTTAACTTGTCCTTCTTCGATGCATTCATCCCCAGACTCTATAGAATAATCTTCTGTGTCTAGATAGGCCACTTTTCCTTTTCTATGGTCCTTTGAAACTCTAGCTTTCTCTGTTTTCAAACGTTCGACATATCGAACCTTATCAGCTAGTTGAGACATATTTGTAATAGAAGGAGCATCAAACTTCTTCATAATAGAATAATCTAATCCCCCAGCGGCCATTTCGACCAGCTTATGTTCCAGAATTGTAGTAAAACATCTAGACTTTAGGACTCAAAAACTATTCAAATAATCCTCCATTGACTCAAATGACCTCCTCTTGATTGAGGATAATTCTTTCAAACTTATCTCAGGTTGCTAGCATAAAATTGCTCATGAAAAATACCCTTAAGTTGTTCCCAAGTGCGTATAGAATTTGGAGTCAATGTTGTAAACCGAGTAAAAGCATTTTTGGTCAATGAATTAGGAAAATATCTTAATTTTAAACCCTCATCATTGGCGATATCGCCAACTTCTATTTCGTACCTAGCGATGTGTTAAATGGTCGACTCATTTGCATCACCAGCAAACTTGGTAAATTTAGGTACCTTACATACCCTAGGTAATTCTTCCTGTCGAATATAATCAGGCAAGGGAAACGAATAATTAGGCCTCCGAAGGCCAACATTTACCCCAGGTCGTGTTAACACTTCTTCTACTACATTGACCATGTTATTACGCCCAACAATGACATTTCTTAACACTCGATCAACATTTTGGTTCCTCCTATCTACGATAGGCCTAGGTTCTTATTGTTCAAAAAATTCTTCCACTTCATAAGTGGGTACTTACACCCTTCGAGATCTAAAAGGACGCTCATTTTTTTCTCCCTCCAATTCTTCAAAAACTCTTAACGGCATGTGGTGCGTCTGAGTTGATTGGACCCCTAATGAGTCGATCAATCTGCCTATTTGGTTAACTACAGCATTGAGGGAAACTCATATTTGCTGAGTTAAGACACTTACTAACTCTAAATTACTCTCATACATCTGTTTCCTTAAAGCCATGACAGAAGTAATATTCAAAGATGATGTTGATTGTGGGGCATAACCAACACCACTTGGTCGACCACCTGGGACATAACTGCCTTGGTTTCTAGTGACCACTGTATTTTCTGTATATGTGGACGGGTTTGACTGTAACCCAACATCATGAAATAAGGCATACAATATTGGTAAGGGACAAATGATGACCATGGACACCCTGGAAAAAGTGGTTGATTTGGGTCAAATGGTGATATCCCATGCCTAGTTTCTCTCATTGTGACTGTTGTCATTGAACCATGAACATCAGTCGATTTCATAGGAGATAAAACCGTCACGCTTTAAGTCATGACACTCACTGGTATGACATCTACGTTTTGTGTAGAAATATGTGTATGTGCAGTATTTGTGTTAGAGTGTGGCATTTTAGACCTCGACAAATGTTTACCACTTCTTAAATTCATACACACAAACTAAACTATAAGAAATTTTGTAAAACCAAACAGAAAATACGAAATTATTAGCAACATCCCACCAGGCGTGCCAATTTGTTTACTCTTAACAAAAAGTTTATTGGCGAGATCGACCAGGGAATCTCAGTATAATGCTTCAGTTTTTGAGTGTTTTAAAATATGTTCAAAAAGATTCGTTCGACTAGTGTCAAACGAGTTTATAAGAAATAAAGCAAGACTTGTAAAATAAAACAAAACAAGTTTTAAATTGTAAATTTAAATGACATAACATCAAAATAGTTGAAAATAAGTTGATTCAAACGTATATTGCCCTAGCTTGACTCATTTTGCGCGTTCATTTGGGTACTTTGAGTGACTAGAGTATAACAATGTGAAAGTTTGAACCTCTAACACTATGCACTAAGTGCTTTATTTATAACACACAAAAATAACTACTTTATATCGGACTTCGCTTCTTCGTACGCCACATGTATCTTGTAACTCCTTTCCGTGATCCCATGTTCTCCATTCATATTCTCGAACCCACGTTCTCCAAGTTTCTCTCCAAAACGCTTCGCTCGCTTGATGGATCTTTTGAGTCTTTTAACGTTTCTAGGCACAATGACTTATGAATTCCTCCCTAGTCGACTTCTCCTGTTTTCAAACCTAATCGCTTACTTGTAGAATCTCTCCAGGTCGACTACATCAATACTCGAATACTTTATAGAATCTTTATAGGTACTAGGTCGACTACATCAATAATCATGTCATATAAATCATCTTTTCTAATAAAACCTTTTTAATTATTTTCTTTTAGTTAGATTTTATTGTTGAAAATCACAGCCAACAATTACATAATAACTTTCATTGAAACAACTCCAATTAACTTCCACATAACACTCGTTAACTTCTACATAACTCCTATATAATTCCATACTATTAACTTCCACATGCTGTATTTTTATAAAGTTAAATATAAATAAAAAATAGCGCTTATACTTTCACGGATATGCACGTGAACGCTAGTATATTATAATGTTTATTTACTATTATTTATTTTTTATGCATTGTAGTCGGTTTCTCAAAACCATCCCCAAATTCTCCACCCTTAAATCCTAACTCCTCTCAACTCCGAAACTCCCTCCGTTACGCCCACCGTATTCTCTCCAGCCACCTCACTCCCTCCGTTATGCCCATCGTATTCTCTCCAGACACCTCACTCCCTCTGTAACACCCAACACCGCCGCCATCACTGAATCCATCAAAAGCCGTCTCGACACTGAAGGTAGATCCTCTGTAGCACTCTCATTCTATTTCATGAGTATGTGAATTTGGTTAAGGAAGAAACCGATATAATGGAGGAGGCTATGGTAACTGACTTGCTTTGTGCTTGTCAAGGAGTTAGTGGTAAGTATGTGAAATTTGATAGTGAGAATAAGTGTTATGCTTTTTGGATTCAATTGCAGTTTTTAGGGAAACTACGGGAATGGTTCATAGGCTTAGGCTTTGTGATTGTAAGTTCAATGGTAGTAAAATTTTGTTAATGCCGAAATAATTCCTATTCTTGGCCTGTTTCTGTAGATATTGATGATGAGAATTACTCTTTTGGCATTGGGTGCGTTTTGCATTTTGCATTTTGCAAACAAGGTGTTTGTTGAAATGTCGCAATGAGTATACATATGTTGTTTTGAGTATAACTCATTTATAATTGTTGTAACATGTTTACAAATAGATATCCGATAGTTTTGATGTGGTTTGTGCATACTCACTATCAATTTTATTTTCATGTACTATAGGACGATTCGAAAAATACCCATGGTTTCATATTTCTAATGTTTATTGAGAACTTCTTAGTGAACCAAGAATTATACAACGATTGAAATCGCCGGTGTTGAATTTGGAGGCGATATCTACCAGAGGCCATCCTACTACGTCGCCGACCGATGCTTTCAATGCGGCACTCGATCCATCCGTTGTTGCATTTGGCGATCTGATCGATCAATATCTCGGTAGAGTTTCTAGAGCTGTGGAGATCACCAATAGGATACATGAAGTTTTTTTTGTTCAGAAAGAGCTTTTGATTAAGCTCAAACACACTCAGGTTTGTTGATTTTTGTTCATTGATGAAATGTTGATTTGGTTGGTGTTTTGAATTGATGGATTTGAATTTCTCGTTCCACATTGTGAAGAAATCTATGAATGGTTGGTGAATGTGATAGATAGTATTGCATTGCAGTATTTTTTTTGTTGACATTATGTTTGTGGCAGATACTTTGGTAATGGTGCTAGAACTGAATCCAATACCAAGAGAACGAAATGTGATGGCATTGATGGTTTTACTTTTTTTCGTTCTTTTTTTCCCGAGTTATATTAATTCAAATATCTCTGATTGTGTTTATGATTATGTGGATTTGCTGCATGTTTTTTAGGAAGAAAGTTGATGGTTCATTGTTAATTGTTATGTGGGATTTTTAATGTAACATGAATTCGGGGAAATTTAATAGAGAATCAATCGATGAAAGAGTAATAAAGAAAAATGGTATAATGAACCATATGTTTTGATGTAGTTGAGGATTTGGGTTTGTGAGGTCATTGCATGTTAGTCAGATGTGAGGTGTTAAAAGAGTACATAGTAAAATATTGAGTTCCTTCCCAGTCAGTGGAAATGATGTTAGGGATATTTGTATGAATCTAGTGGGATGGAGCTGCTATAATTGATTTTCTACGGGAATTCAAATACAAGAAATCCTTCTCATCTTGGAGAATCAATTCTATAACATCGGAAAATTAGCCAAAGATAATAAGCTAGCTTTGAATTTTATTTCAAATGGCTATTGCATCTGATGCTTTTCAAAACAAGAATGCAGAGTGTACTAGGATTTCTCTAAAAGAAATACATAGCTAGCTGTTTATAGCCAAGAAAAATTGAATTTAGTTGGGAGAAAAGAAATCACATATAATTTCTCATACTTCAAGTTTTTATGTTCTTTGGAGTATATGTCTTCTCACATCATCAGTTATGTGCAGAAACCAAACCCTACTTGGCTGGCTGAATTTTAAAAACCATTGAACGAAGTGATCATGAAAGCTGTTGCATTGACAGAAGGAAGGAAGATCTAATTTTTTTAAATCACTTGAAAGCATCTGCTGAAGGTGAGTTAGAAATAAGAGGAAGATGTAGTGCATGTCAGAAGGTATGTTATGTTATAATTCTGTGTTGTCATATAATTTGAGCTATTTTGAGAGTTTGAAGTGTGATGCTCAAAATAACATCTTGGCCCGAATGAGCATTCATAGAATTTCAATGCAAATTCTAAATTTTTTAAATGGTTTTTTAACTTCAAATAAATGAGTTAATTAATAGTTGATTGTTGTGGTTATATAGCCCAAGAATGAGTTAGTTACTGATCTGATTGGGCCTACATTTGCCTTACGAACGAAAGGCTCAAAGACAGTCCAAGTTAGAGATTGTGGGGCAACTCCCTATCCAACCGTTGGGGGACGTGGCCTACCACTTCTCAACGGACATATCAAACTGCCCTCCAGGAATCTCTGGTCCAACCCTATTCTCGCGGAGCGGTTGACCAAGGGGAGTCCACTTGCTAGACTCCATACTCACGTAAACCTTGGTAGTTTCTGTTATTGGGCCTCTGCGTGGTCCAATAGTGGGGACCTTGGCCCAGCGCTGGGGGCTATAAATACCCTCTCTCATGAGTGAGTCAGTTATTCATTCATTCACACCTAAATTCATACTTGCTTGCTCATTCCGCCTCTCACTTTGTCATCAGAGTGTCTTGCAGGTACCCCCCATCTAATTCAAACTCAGCCCGAAGTCAGTTGTGATGGTCCAACTCTGATAAAGTCAGATAAGTGGCGCCGTCTGTGGGAATCTAAGCTTCCACGTCTTCTCTTCACTTAAAAGACCAAAGCTAAAACCATCCTCGATTGTCATGGCTGACCAGACTCAGGACAACCAGAATGTCCGTGTCATCGATGCTAACAACAACATCGCCGACAACAATGCCGACCTCGACAATGTCGGTACCGTCGACCATAACACGATCTCTGGCGTCAACATGCACGGACCTTCTAACTATAGGGACGGAGCCACGACTTCTTCTTCGTCAATCCTTCCTCGACTTGAAGAAGACTGATCACCTCCACTGAACTATACACCCGTCCAATTTCACGAGGTCCCCGTCCCCGCCGGGGCAGACGTCACGACCAGGGCACTGTTCGTAGCGATCAACCAAATCAACTATCTCATCTTCGCCCAGAGGGGAAAAACTGAGAGCACTCCAGGACGATCGAAGGTCCCCGAGAAGACACAGGAGGCCTCAATCTCCTCCCCCTCGACAAAAGGACGAACGTCCCCAATCTCCTCCGCGGAGACGGAATTAGGACATCTCTAGAGCCCGTCACCCTGACCACTCGGACGACGACCCCCTTTTGAGACGGAATCGCTCGTCGACGCGGGAAGGTGCGACTATGGCCCCTCGCGGCAAGAATGAAGACCCCCTGGAGATAGACACGAGGGAAACCATCAACGGTCATACCGCCCAAGGAATGCTCCGCGCGACCAGGGCCATCGTGACCGCCACTACATCGGATCTCCATCCAGCTCTCCCTAACGGAGTGACGAGGACGACCCCCGTGGTCCCTTGTCACAAGCTATCATGGAGGCGCCCATTCTATAGGGCATGGAGAAACCTCCCCACTTAAAGGAGTACAACGGCATCGCAGACCCGATCGATCATATAGACGGGTTCGAAGCCATGCTCCACTACCACAACATCGGAGGACCAATCAAGTGTCGGTTTTTCCCCATGACTCTGAGGAAAACGGCTATGGACTGGTACAAAGGTCTCGCCCCGGGGTCAATTACATCTTAGCGAAACCTGAAGAACCAATTCATCAGCTCGTTCATTATTTCGCGATGACACCCGAAGACCGAAGCAGCGCTCGAGGCCATCGTCCTCTACCGTAATTTTGGTTACTGGGTAAAGCTAAGGCTAATATTAATTTAATTAACGAAAGGGATCTAATTACTAAATTTAGTTATAAAATTTTTAATTATAAATACCGGTATGTATTTCACCTAAATTTTGGGTTCTGAATTTCCACTGGCTTTTACTTAAATTGGTCAAAAATTATCTTTACGCAAACTTTATTTGTCTAAAAACCTTTCCCTCACACTTCCGTTCTATTAGTTCAGGTTATATGATTAATACCCTAACGTGTGCTTCCATCACTCCGTCGGATTCAAAAGTAATTTTTGAAAACAGAATAAAATTTAATTGTTTTTAAAATGCTTCCGCCTCTTTAAAAACAATGCCTAATAATCACTATCTGGTTTTAGCCTCAAACTTCCGTTTTATTAGTAAAAACCTTAATCAATTCTAAAACCTCACACTTCCGTTCTATTGGTTTGTAAAATCTTAAACAATTTAATTGAATATTAAAACCATGAAAGAAGTTTCTTTTACAAAATAATTTTAAGCCAGTTTATTTCGGATCCCGTTATTTGGTTAATTTACATACCGATATTTAATCGGTTTAGCCAGACATGTTCATACAATTAATCATGCAAGGTTTATTAATTAGGAAACGGCGAAATAAAAATATACTCAGAACAGAGATCATACAAATATATTAAATAAAGCGTATAAATGAAAACCTGATGAAAATGTAGAAATACTTCAATAGCTTCAAGTAAATATTCGTTCTTCAAATCCTTCGAGTATTCCACCACAAGTCGGCTGGATCTACCCTTCGAATCTTGAATTTCGTAACAACAAGAAAAGTAAAAATACCGGATCTAACGTAAGGTTAAACCGGATAAAATTGCACAACAATTCCCGGTGTACAAATTGTTGTACGAAAAGAAAGGCAGAAAACTGGAGAAGAAAAGAAAATAAAAAACAATGCGATGAAATAAAAATAAAGGAAAAGGGCAGAACAAAAATTAAAATGGAAGGAAATTTGCTCTGCTGAAAATAGTACGATCTTGCAAAAATTCTCCGACATTTGGGATTTGGCTTTCACTTCTATTTATAATGCTTGTAAAATAACTGTATCCCAAAAGGTCAATCCACGTAAAACTGAATATCCAAAAAATATTGCTAGTGGACTTTGTTGCATAAGGTGCTGAAGACGTGTACGGAAATATAGCAAAAGTTGGTTTCTTCATTGACTTGGGACCAGTCGTTCTGTGTGAGGAGAAAATGGCGTGAAAATAGGAAAGGGGAGGGAACGGTCGTTCCACTCAGCTGAAGTGGGTCGGACCGGTCGTTCCCCTTAGTGGGCCGGTCGGTCCCTTCAAGCTGAAGTGGGGAACGTGTGTTCCCTTGGGCCTCTGCGCGTTCTTGGTCTTTTGGGCCTTGGAAAAAAATTATTCTTTTCACCCCCATTTAGTATTCTGCACCACATTAATCAATTATCTTCATTTTTGTACTAAATTGCATCTATTTCTTCATTTTTCTTCACATAAGCTTATTTAAGGCAAAATACCTGAAACAAAGAAATACCGTAATATGGAAATAAAATAAAATAAATTAAATAAAAACATGAATTATTTGCATTAATTAAGTCGATTTATACGATATAAAATCGTGTTATCAAACTCCCTTACACTTGAACCTTTGCTTGTCCTCAAGCAAGAAATATATATCTATCTAAATGCGGGTCAGACGCAACAAAAATTACCACAAGTCAAAAATGTATTAAGTTGCACATTGCTCTTGAGCTCTCGACTTCGATACTAAAGTCACCGTAACAATACTAAATAAACTCAGGTTCGAAGAACAATTCTAGTGACGCCATTATAACTTAACTCTAAATCCTACATTTTGTTTCACCTTTTTCATTCAGGCGCAATCACATTAAGCCCTTTGCCCTTTCGCGCACATAGTGGAGTGACCGGTTAGTGAATTTGATCTTTTAAGCCTGCTAGGAGTTCTGGTACTTAATAGATGGTAACTCCTTTTTGTTCTTTTGTAAATTGCGGGGAATCGAACCGTAGTTCGCCCTACCAAGTTCAACACCAGAAACCGCTGAACCAATTTACAAAGAATTCATTGATTGATAATTTATAAGGTTCGCGACCGTTGGGCTAAATAGTCTGGTAAGGACTATCTAACTTAGTTAGAGCGTTTCTACAAATTTAAATTTTTTTTTATTTTTTTATTTTCGATCAATCACTTATATTCATCGATCCTCCACGTAGTTTTCTATTTAGACGGTGCTGACTGCGTGTATAAACTACTAAAGGTTACTTTAAAACCTAGAATTTAAATTTTCGGTATATAAATGGTACTAAAATTTTAATTCATTTTCCTGAGATTTTAAAGCGTTGAAGTGGCGACGATATTATTTCAATCGTGTTCAATTTATAAATATTTTCTTCTAAAGAAGCAACTTTGATACACTTTTTGAGTGTGTATAATTGTGCGTCTGACCATAAAAAAAAAAAAATTTATGGCTCAAGAATTTGGCGAATTCGGATAATCATGAATTTATATATGTATATAAGACTTAATTTAATAACAAATTTTTATTAATTAAAATTTTAAAGTACAAAAGGGAAATTTGCTTACTTGAAGAAAGATAACAATAGTTAATTCGACCCCCCTACACTTAAACTGAGCATTGTCCTCAATGCTTAAAAATGGGGAATCGAAAAATACAAAAATAAAAAGAAAAGAAATATTAAGAACTAATCGTTACGATGTGGACGACGTCCTCTTCCTCGAGTTCTTGGACGTCGCTCATCTTGGCGTTGTGGAGGCACGAATTCGTCCAAGCGTAGGTGAAGTGAGTGCATAGAAACTCCAAGGTCAATAACATTTGCATTCAAGGTGTTGTAGTTGTTATGCATTTGTTGTACCAATGCAAATGTTGCGTTTTGTTGGTTTTGCATCTGTTGCATGGTTTGGTAGAGAGTTTCCATGGTGAGATGGTTTTGTTGATTGTTGTTCATTTCTTCTTCCAGTTCATCCACGGGAGCATTATTCTCAGCTTCGGGTGCATTTAAATCGAGTAACCAACGGCTTCGATTTTGC